CACGGCCCGCAGCGGCTCCGCCAGCCAGGGTGTACCCTCACTCCTTCCCCCGGAAGACCAGGAGAGGGGGCCCCGAGTTCCCCCAGGGAGCTAGCATATGGCTGGGGTCATCGGAATGTATCATCGGGGACGCTGACCTCCAGCCCCTTACTCCCCGTGAGCAGATGTGGTGCAAGTCCACTCACGAGTTTCGGGGATCCCTCGCCTCCGATTACGAGGGCACCGCTGCGGGTGGCGCCACCCGGGGCGGCCCCACGGACGGTTCAGGTCACCGAAGCGGTGCCCATTTCGGACCGTCGTGATGACCAGCGATGATATGCTTCGAAAGGGATGCCGTCGCGGAGACACCGGGCTACAACTACTCGGCGCTCCCCCCGGCCCCGACCTCGGAATACGTCCGAGCGGCCGCGCGACTCCCCTGCTCCGAGAGAGACGGGTGGCTCCGCGACGGACCGAAGTCCACGCGGTCCCGCCCTCCCCTACGGACAGAGTCCGCACCTCTCGAGACGGGAGAGGCCCCCACTGCAATGAGCCGAAGCTCTCGGGGACCCCTTCCTCCCCCCCCCCTCCAGTGGCATGAACTAGCCCGCAGCCAGGAGCACCCAGCTCGAGCGACCCGCTTTGCGAGAGTACCCGCTCGACGCGTTCCACGACCGAGGGAACCCCACCCTCTAGGGGGGAGGGGCGAGCCCCACGGGATCCCGGGCGCAGTGGGGGGTCGACGCCCACACCCGCACGGGCAGGGAATAGAAATTCCCCCTAACGGTGCCGTGTCACCGAGCGATTGTAGTCAGAGCCGCCAACTCATACCGGCACATTGGGGACCCGTCCCGAAGGGACGAGACCCCCAGGAGTCCCTCACGAGTAGAGGAGATTCCCTTGGGGTGCCGGACCCGGCGTACAGATTCCTCCGGTAACGGGGGAGTCTGTACAGGTTGCTCTTAGACCCCCACGAGTCGCGAAACGACCCGTGGGGGAACCCCCTCGCCACCACAAGGTGGCAACTCACGAGAGAGATATATAATGTATCTGATATATATATATATATATATATATATATATCAATTAAATTAATTTTTTCAATTGAAGAGCTATTAACATTATTA